TATATTCAACACCTTTCTTCTCAAGAACTATCCAAAGGATCTCTCTTGGAACCTTATCGTAAGCTTTTTCTAAATCAATAAAAATCAAATGTAGATTCTCCTTATTATCTCTGAACTTCTCCATCAAACCTCTCAATAAATGTATAGCTTCCATAGTAGACCTGCCCGGCAGAAATCCAAATTGATTATGAGAAATTTTTATCATGCGTCTTAACCTATGTTCAATTACCCACTCCCATAACTTTAAAGTATGACACATCAACTTAATTCTTCTATAATTTGCACACTCCTGTGCATCTCCTTTATTCTTAAAAATGGGGACCAAAATACTCTTCATCCACTCCTCAAGACTTTTTAGTTTTTAAAATAATATTAAAAATTTTAGTAAGCCAAGAAACTCTCAAATCTCCTAAATATTTTCATACTTTAATTGGGATATCATCAGGTCCTACAGACTTTCCACCCTTGGTTTTTTTTAAAGCCTCATCAACTTCTTTTCTACTAATGCAACGATAAAAATGAAACGTTTTATTATTATTCATGATATTAAGATCACTAAGGTCGATTGTATTTTCAGTAACTTCATCAAAAAGTTTATCAAAATAACTCACCTACCTATGTTGAATATCTTTTTCTAAGAAAAGAACTTTTTGATTTTCATCTTTAATAAACTTTACTTAAGTTCAATCTTTACTTTTCTTTTCTTTTTGTTTGGCTAGACTATACATATATTTTTCACCCTCCTTGGTATCTAATTTATTCATGATATTAATATCACTATTTGTTCATTACTATACTAAAATCACCAGCATCCTTAAAGATAATAACACTAAACCAAACAACAAGTGCTTCATAAATGGCAGTCAGATCTAATAACACTAACAACAAAACTACATTATCAAGCAGCACATAAAAGTGGATTTTCAAATTTTCCAATAGTTATGTTGGTCCTTATGTTACTTCTTCCAAAGTCTTTGGGTGTTCCCTCTAGATAATCATCTTGCTCGTTGGAAAATGGAAGTACTACTCGTGATTTAATGACTCATAAATAATTTCATAGAATTGAAACTTCTAAATGTATCACTTCCAGTCTCCTTCATGATCTATAGCCCAAGAGAAATGATAGTCATCTAACTTTGAACTCATATATATATATATATATATATATATATATATATATATA